ACCTTGCAGCTTGCACTATATTTGGATCCTAGTCATTTTTCCTCCCAATTTTATTGTAAATTTTGAAGAGAGTCTTGTTTCTATCAAGTACTATGTAATGTGATGTACGTGGCGCACAACAACAAGAGAAATGAATATTTTGATCCGTTCAACAAGGACGTACAGTTTCCGTTTTGTGGGAACAAATCATCATTTGGTCACCAACCAAACAGGAAAATCTTAATCAACTTCTTTTTTCTTTTTTTTTTTTGGGACTTATCCTCCTAAGTTACAATTTTATGCTTGATATTCACGTTATCGTCGCCCAGAATGATGGATTTGACTTTTGTTAATTTCTCAGTTTCAACATCTGTCATTTTCCTCTCTTTCTTTTTATTTTTTAACGATGACTTTTAAATGCGTTGAGATCCACGTTTTTTTAGAAAGATTATTAGAGGAAATTTCTTAACTTGTGCGCAATTATGAATATATTTTTTTATTATAAATTAACAAAAATAATATAATTATAATCCCGCACTCGGTGACTAAATGGCCACCCTTGGCAAGAGACGTGCGTAGGATTACAAGAACTTGGTATCAAATTTCAAGTCCCCCATTCTCCCTTCCCCCAAGGGAAAAAAGATTTCACACTGTTAAAAAATATATATAATTATAATATTAAATAATATTATAAATTTACAATAAAATATATACCTAGTTATATAATTGATTATTTTTATACATAATATATTATTAAAAATATGAAAATTAAGACATCTTACCATTTAAAACGTTCATCATAATCATTTATAAGTGGACCTTATCCTTGATAACGATTTAATAGATAGCTATGATAGATGTCTTAAACGTCAAAATGTCATGATTTTTCGGACTCTCATATATTATATATATTAATTTATATAATAACATAGTACACTTATATATAATAATATTTTATAATTGTAAATCTATAATATTACATAATATTGTAATTACAATAATATTCATAAATTTATTCCTCCTATATTGAAAAAATAACCTTTATTACAATTAATTAATTTTTCATTATACCATTAATTAATCACTCACTCTGTTTTAGATTGATAGACATTTATTTTTATTTCATTCTTCTTATTAAAAATATGTGGACAAATTCTATTTTTATATGTTTTACATTTAAAAAATTAAAATAAAAACTTTTTTTTATAATGATATAAATAATTAAAGTTAAGAAATAATTAAAATTAAAAATATTTGTCTCTTTTTAAATATAAAAAATAATTAATTATTTTATTTTAACACAAAATTTAAATGAAAAATCTATTATTATTATTATTATTATTATGAAAAAAGGGGTATAACATTCCACTGTTTTGTTTTTTTTGGGTGCACTGGTGCCAACTGCCCATGACCAAGTGGGCAAGTGCGAAAGACAACAATAATTGGATCTCCGTACAGTTTCCAAAACAGAAAAAAAAAGAGAAACTCTGGATATTATATACTTATTGTTTTGGCACAGTTTTCTTTTTCTTTTTCTTTTATACCTAATGTCTTAAAGTCTTCACCATAGCTTTCTCAAAAAAAGTCTTCACCATAGCTACTTACATACCCCCCTCTCTCTTATAATTCTGGTTTCAGAAGAAAGAAAGAGTATCCCAGAAAAACACCAAGAGATGGGGAGAGCTCCTTGCTGTGACAAAGCCAACGTGAAGAGAGGCCCATGGTCACCCGAAGAAGATGCCAAGCTTAAGTCCTATATCGAGGAACACGGTACTGGAGGCAACTGGATTGCTTTGCCTCAGAAAGTTGGTATATATAAACAACTTCATCTTCTTTTGAATATTTTCTTTGTTTTGAGCATGATACTTAATCTTAAACTGGCTTAGATAGGGTTGGTACTTGGAAACTTTAAACTTAATTAATCTTGTGCTAAGATCCCAATTGTTCAAATATCTGTAATATATATAGTTGTTAGCGCAGACTCGCCCTCATAAGTTGTAACAAATTAATAACCAAAGACAATTAGAGAATTTGGTTTGTATTTAATTTATTAGTTAAGGACAAGTACTTTTCTGTGTTCACGGTGTATTAGGGCTTAAGAGATGTGGGAAGAGCTGCCGCTTGAGATGGTTAAATTATCTCCGTCCCAACATCAAGCACGGAGGATTTTCTGAAGAAGAAGATAGTATCATTTGCAGCCTCTATGTTAATATTGGAAGCAGGTAATTTATTCACTTCTTTTTGTACAAACCCTAACTAGATTTTGCTAAATTTTTATAGCTACGGTACAGATCACTATGAATTACCTTTTTTTTTTTTTTTTTGCAAAGTTTAGGTGATCTATTTACTTCTTTTTCTATATACCCTAACTAGATTTAGCTAAGTTTTTATAGTTAGGGTACCGATCACTCTGAATTACTTTTTTTTTTCTTTGCAAAGTTTAGGTGGTCTATTATTGCTGCCCATTTGCCGGGGAGGACAGATAATGATATAAAGAACTACTGGAATACAAGGCTGAAGAAGAAGCTTTTAGGTAAGCAACGCAAAGAACAACATGTTCGGAGAGGAAAGCAACAGATCATGAAGGGAAACTGTAGTGCTACTCCTGATACCACTAACAACAACAAAAACCCTAACTACTGGCCGGAGCTACCAATGCTGTATAGCAATGATGAGCATCATCAGCAAGTTTATGAGCAGTCCCCGGCCGTCTATATTATGCCCTCTTCTTGTTCTACTTCCTCCATGGATGGCTTAAACAGCATTACCGGTACTCAAATTTTTGATACCGGGTACAATATGTTGCAAGGGCAAAGCAGTAGTGATAATTTTATAGGAGGGATCCAAGAAATTTTTTATGGTTGCCCACAGAGATTGGATGGAATGGGGTTTTCATGCAGCGAGCAAATAGTGAGTAAAAGATTAAGTCTGAATTGTTCTGAAAGTGGTAGTGTTGGGTGGTGGGGTGATATGAGCTCTTTGGTTTGCCCTGATCAGCCTGCAGTCGGTTCAGACTATGGCATACATATACAACAAGGTCAAGCTGGAATAATGCAACAAGAGTATGGTTTCAGTGATCAGTTGAGGTATCCAGGAGCCTAGCAATATGGGAATTAATAACACGTTTTTAACGAAATGAAAAGTTGAAATTCTTAGTAAAAGATTAAATCAAAGGGAGTTTTGAGGCAATGGGAATATGGGATTCATGAAGAGAAGAAAGCACACTATTATCTCATCAAATGCTTATGTGTTTACTTTTTTCTGTGCTTAATATGATTTAGTGACTGTAATTTATATATCTAATACGTTCGTACGGACTTACTGTACTTTTTTATATATAATGAAAAAAATCTTCATTAGCTTTAACCTCCTACTGCTTGCACTTTTTAATTTCTTGTTTTTTTTAGCTAAGCAACAATGTAATTTGGGTTTGGGAGATTTATTGTTCTCCTGAAAGGGGTTGTTGATTTTTTAACTTGACTTAAACAAAATATCTTTGAAATTGATTAAATATTTTAATTTTTACACTTTTTTTTTTAACAAGTCAATTTAAAAGCTATTTTTCTGTTCTTTAAACTTAAAAGAATTACGTCAAAGAAAAGAAAAACTCAAGTTTTGAATAACGGCTTTTTCCAAAAGGATCGATTTATATGACACTTGAAATTCAGAGAAAGACCTCATTTGGACTCATCTGATGGATCGTCAATCTAGAACACACAAATTAAGATAGGAAGGGGATACAGTGTTTGACAAATCAACGATTGATTCAAGTACTTATATATATATATTTTTTTTATGGAAATCCGAGTACTTATGTAGAGTTGATTACAGTTGTAATGATCCATCAATGTATATACCAAACAATCAAAACAATGTAACCTAGCTAGCTAGCTAGCTCGATCTGTTGACAATTTTATTTTTTTATTTTTTAGGCCAACACTTGACAATTTTATTGTTGGATCACAAGATTCTATTACTAAAATCGGTTGATCGTAATTAAACTCCTAAAATCCTTCCTGCCACCATCTAAACCAACCCACCCCTCTCTATTTATTAGCCCACTTAATTTTCAACTTCTATAAGATATCACACCACGCAATGTGTGGTGTAGTTAATAATATTAATTAGCATATAAAAAAAGAATGCATTAGGTTGAGGAATGCCTTTAGGCTAATTGCCAACTATTATCAATATTAAGATTATTATTTCATATAAGTTATTAACATTGAATTAAAATTTTTTTTCTCTACTGAAAATGCCCTCACACAAGTGAAGAAATGCGCCTCAAAAGAAGTAGTGGGACAGAATAAGAAGGTCAACGAAGAACATAATTTTTCTAGTTAAAGAAAGGATTACACACATCAGAGTACAATGGAACTATATATAAAGGAATAATAGAAAGGCTTAAGTTTTGGGTCTATCATCCTTGAGCCTCAAGGGGTATTAATTGTTCGAGCCTTAAGGACATTAATTTTAGATATTTTATGAGGATTTTAGTATTGTGAATCTTATAATTATAGTTAAGGAAATATTTTCTAAGTTTCTAGCTACTTATATATATAAATTAAAAATGAATCTGTTTTGTTGATAGAGAAAAAAAGAAAAAGAAAAAGAAAAAGAAAAGAACGAACTTGAATATAGTTAATTTAAGTTTGCAAGGTAAAGGAGTATCAGGGTATCACTAGAGAATAAGAGGCAGAGCAGAAAAAAGTCCTGAACAATTTAAAAAATAGACTAGCAAAATTACAATGATGACGATTATAAACACGTACCTAAGGAGATCTGTGATTGAGGACGTCCTATCCATGAAAAATAACCAAACCACGACTTTCTATCCCTACTTTTCTTTATTTTATGGATTCATGTGTCAATATCAATTTCAAAATCCCACATCGAAATGGAATCTAAATAATTAAAATCTTTATAAACCATTGCAATTAATTTTCTCATTGTTAAGTCAAGCAATATATTTTTTTTTTGAATAAGTTGTTCATGGATGGGTTTCGAATCCGTCCATGAGAGAAAGAGAATATACCTCAAACCAGTAAGATATCAGTTGACTTGAAGGGTTAAATACGTCAAGTCAAGCAATATTAACTTGTAACTAATTGAGATGTTAATTTTTTTTATTAATTTTTTAATATTTGATATTTATAATAAGAAAAACTTTATTAATATCCACTTTTTTATTTATAAAATTTAAATTTAAAATTTTACTTTTAAAAAAATTTAATTCTTTTCACTAAAATATATAACTTGTTAGTGAGGTATTAAAATAATTTAATGTGAATATGATGTAACTAAATGAAGAAGGGCCCTCAATCAAGGTTGTGCGCTATAGATTCATCCCTTCCGGTGAGGTCCAGCTCAACACGTGCCCCTTCCCTTGAGGCCCAGCTCAGCACGGGCTGGTGGCCGTTAGCCATTCATTAATTTGAGGATTAATATCTCACTCTGGCATACAGTTAGTCCACTCCTAGTAGCACACAACACAACACAACCAACTTTTTGCCTGATTTAGAAGAATTTATGTTCATTAACTCGCTATTGCATAAGATTGTAGAGAAAAAAATGTAAATAAAAATATTTATTTTTTATTTTTTATTTAAAGATATTAATTTTATCAATTTTTAAATAAAAATATCAACTTTAAATATTTTTATTTAAAAAGGTTAATTTTTAATATTTTTAATTTAAAGATATTAACTTTTAATTTTTTTATATTTAAGAATTAATTGGATAGTGATGTTGATATGATAAATATATTTTTGAAAAAAGATTATTATCTTTAAATTGAAAAAATTAAAAGTTGGTACATTTAAATAGAAAAAATTAAAAGTTAATATTCTTATTTAAAAAACTAACAAAAGTAATATCTTTGAATAAAAAAAATTAATATTCTTATTTGCATATTTTCTCTAAGACTGTAACACTCATGGTAAGATAAGTTTATGTTGTAGTAATTATTTATTATTATTATTATTTAAAATGCATAATTTTCTAGTATCAATTTCAAAGGTTAAAAATAGCTGCTGCGTGGTCAGTGCCTTAGCCCTTGGGTATTGGAAGGCGCAAAATGGCCCAATTCAAAACCATACCATGGGCAAAAAAAATCCAAAACCAAACAAAATACAGTTCGATATCGAATTAGCCCATTAGGCCCAAAGGGCTCGAGTGCTGTGCCAGCCCGTCAATCTGAAAAAAACCCTAGAAAAGAACAGACGGCGAAAGGAAAAACGAAACCGATGCGCGGATGAGATGAGAGGAAAGCTCAAGTGAAACCAACTTCCAGCAAGCTTCATTCTGTAACAATGACGCTTCTGGCGTCCTCTGTGCTGCCTTCATTTCCGAAGTTGCAGGTACTCACTTAACTTTGAGAGCAGAGTCGGGCGATTTGCCATTTTTCAGAGATGGCGCCTCTGGCGTCCTCTGTGCTGCTTTCATTTCCGAATGAGGTGTTAATCACCAAATGAAATCAGTTGGTGTGTGTTGTGCGTTTTATTATATTAGTTATCATGCTTCAGGATAGTCCAAATATTTCTGGTTTTGGATTGAATTAATTGTTGCAAAAGCTAACGTGGTTGGAAACTGAATTGTTTCTATTTCAAGTCCAAATTCAAGTTTCGCGATGCTAATGTCATTGTTGCTTTGCATAAGCCAAATGCATAAAAAGATTTTTTTTGGGGTAGAAAATTAGATTGTTTGGTGACGTGTTGCTGCAGCTAATGCGGATTGTTGCTTGAAAACGGATTGGATAGATGAGTAGAGTTGGGCTTAAGGTGTAGTCTCGACAGATAAGAGTTTGAGACACCAAGTTGGAGGCATTAGGTTCAGACCTTAATACAAGTAAAATGGGAATTCGGGAAAGAGGGGCTATGACTTGTTATATAGCCCATTGTTAGATATATCAAAAACAATGAGTACTGTAGATAGGGAGCTTTGTGTTGTCCGAGTAATTTTGTTTTGAACTAACTCATATTTTCGATTCATGTTAGCTGTGATTGATTCTTGGCCTCGTAAACTAAATGCTACTAATCTTAATGGGAAGTCAGTGCATCAAATTCTTGTTCTCCGTTTTCCCAGTCTAAGACTAGAAGAAGTTAGATGTATATCTTAATGTGGTTCTTGTCAAACTTTTACAATAAACTTTAGACTAGAGAAGGGTATCATCAGGATACCTTTCGGAAGAATGAGTGCGTAAGAGTGTCATCAATAAAGAAGATTTTTTCACATGACATTGTCTTTGACTCTTGTATAGGTTAAAGAGTTTAAATACCAGACAGCACATTTGCATGGCAGCTTGTCATCGCGTGTCTGCTGCCAAATCTCTCCTTTATGTTGTATGAAAATAACAACAGGGCAGTTTGGTGATATGAATAATATGAAGAAGAAACTAAGAATTGTCAAGGAGAGGTTATGGGAGTCTATCCCTGACCCCGTAAAAGAATTCCCTTGGAAGAAAGCAGAGGACATGCTGCTGGTGCAACTACTTGCTCTAGGATGGAAGGCATTTAAGTGGTCTGTTATGCCAGTGTTCGTTTACAGCTCTCTATCAGATGTTGTGTTTTCAATTTCTAGAAATCAAGAATTACTGATTCCCCTTGGTCTCCTGCTTGGATACTTGATGACTGATTTCTTGAAAGAAACATCACGAGAAATGTTTCAAAGCTCCGAGGTAGTTTTTCCTTTCAACAATTTCCCATCTTCATGGTCTATAAAAATTGCATCTACTATAAATTTGTAATTTTCATTTACCATTTAGCAGGAAAAGAGCTTGAGCCGGCACCTCTTGGCAATTGGCAGCTTCTTTGTTGTTGTCAAATTTATTTCTATATGTTTCGCTATAAAAGCAAGGGTTCTCCTTTTGCATGTCGCCAATGGTGGATTAATGGAGGTATTGTGGCTATGGAAGCATCTGGTTAAAGAAGATGAAGGAGATGAAGGGGATTTCTCCTCCAGGCAAGATGCTTCTTCAGATGTAGCAGCAGAAACTTAATTTTTTTTTTTTTTTTCACATAAAAGTATTGCTCAGTTTATAAAGGAATTTCTTTTCTTTTTTAACCTTTTTGATATTGTTGAGCAAAACCCTTACCGTAGATAAATTTTTGTGAAGAATGATTTTTCCAATGTTTGCTGTCATATTATAACTCCAGGAACACGGCGTAATTTGAGTGGATGAGGAGAGAATATTGGGTTAACCTGTTTTCTGGAGGTTAAGAGAAATATCTTTAGAACCTGATAAGAATTCACAGCTGAGCTAATCTTTGAATTGTACAAACTGTTTGAAACACATTTCTAAAACATGTCTCTTATTTACGAGAGATGGAAAAAAGAGACTGCTTCTAGTATATGAATTTGTGTTGGGATTTCCCTCTGTTTAGTAACAAGCAGCATGCATGGTTATGGTGCTAGTTTATATAAACTGAAATTTCAATGAGATGATGATCCAGATATTATCAAAAGTATAGTTAATTAATTTCCTTGCCACTAGTCCCTTCCCTCATGCTTAATTAATTTCAACAGGCTGCTTTCCTGAAATGAATAAAACATTATTATCTAAGAAATTACTCTTTGATTCTTACAGAACCTCCAAGCGCTGACAGAACCTTACCTGACTTTTGAGCCTTTTGATCTTTGATGCAGTCCTGACCTCCCCGATGATGGCTGTGTCCAGATTTGGACATGTCATGACATTTTATTGGAAACTGGCAATAAGCAGATTGAAGCTGTTGACAAATTTGTTCCAACCGCTGAGACTGCTCATCTTGTCGATCCATCTCTATTAGAACCTGTAAGTGTAAAATGACACATCATTCTTGCAACCTGTTGAAAGATTTATGTTGAGAGAAAGAGAAAGAGCTGTCTGATGGCTACCTGTGCAGCACTACTCCTAAAAATGGGGGTGAATCGCTGCCTACAGTACTCATTGAATAGAAAAGTCAAAACAATCAATGGAATGGTGAAGCCAGATGCAATGGGTGATCGTTTTATTCCAAAAACCCCAAGAGCAATTATTTGCGTCAACACCAATGAAAAGATTGTTGTGTTATGAACAATAGGCCAGAATCGTCCCCCACTTTCATATTTTGACACATACACATTCAGAATCTGAAACATATTGAATGGCAAAAAACAATAATTATCTAATAATATAAAAATATTATGCAATTCAGATTACATTAAACTATAAAAATCAAACTATTAGATGTGGGTAGGTTCCAAGCTATCTCTTATTTAATAGTTTTTGTTTTGTAATTTTTTTAAACATACTGCAATTATTTACAAGTTAATTGGGATATAGGGGGAAAGGGTTTTCGTGGAGCCCTAACGTGCAACCCATGGGAGATGAACAGCTCTAACTCAGGATCTAATACCACTAGATCAGAACGGCTGTGTTCTTTTGTTTTGCAATTTGAACTGTCAAAACAAGAAATTCATCCAAGAATATGTAAGAACTGAATTGTTTCAAATGTAGCTTTTATTTACGGCACTGTTATTTTGTTTTGACAAATGTACCTTCAGCCTAAGGTGCCAAAGCAAAACTGTAGAACTTAACAACTTCAATATCTTAAACCAGACTGTTATCGTCCTCTGCTTTGAAAATTTTACCATAGGCAATGGACATATTTCCTTCATGCTCCAAAGGATTAACAAAACATAGCTAAATACGTTTTAAAACACACTTTAAACAGCATTACTGATACTTGAAAAATAGGTAAAAATTCGTATAATGGATTCGAGAATGTAGGAAAACATGGAGTATTGATGGGAAAAACATGCACCTGGTTGCGGTAGACAAGATAAGCAAGGAAATAGTAGCCCAGCAATAAGGGCAAGATCAATGGTGCCATGACAGAACAAGTAAAGCCAATAAGCCCAAACAAAAGTACTCTTGGAATTTCAATGTGGTGTGGAAAGGAATAGACGGCATCTGGTGAATCATCCTTCATTCTGAATATGAACTTTTTTATCATGTTGCAAAGAAGTGCAAAAAGCTGAATGACTTCACACGCCAAGCTTGCCCACCCAGAGGATAAAACATAAGTCATGAAGAATGTAGCCTGCGGATATTCAAATAGCCAAAAGTGTAATCAAAAGAAACTCACATTTGAAACCTTAACCATGGTCAGACATACATTTGATCCAACCATTTGGGTAGATATTTACAACCTAAAACTTGGAAAATAACAATTCCATACATAGAGTTTAGATTCACGAATAAGTTTGTTAGACAACTCAAATACACAAATATAGTTAACAGAAAGATTAATTTAACCATGTATAGAGATAGGAAAAAGGCTGAAGTTGCAGCAAATATGAAAGCAATATATGAAGGAATCGTGAAAAATCACCTGATTTGGCACTGCTTTGGCAAGTTGTGATGGTATATCTTTTACCCTGGAGAACACACTCACTAGTTGGATAAGAGACCCAGAAAGAACATTAAGAAAGAAAACATTCAAAATTGTGAAGCACAAAACTTTGATGCATGCGCTTTTTTTCCTCCCACTTCGTGAGGTGGGTCCCTCCAATTTCGAAAATAGCATCATTGTTGGAGGAACAGCATACAAAAACAAGATCAGAAGCACACTTGGTAAGTAACCTGTTACCACCTGTTTTATAAACTTCCTGCACATAAGAACATGTTAAATTCATAAGTGACATCTTCCTGCACATGTTAGCTCTTCCTAACATCTGAAACAAAGGATTCACAATTATAACACCTATTGAAGAGAATTGCTACATATAATAAACATAAAACATGAACAGTAGGGAACTAAGTAAAGAATACGTTTAACGAAATACCATAAGAAACTAACTGTAAAAATACTAGCAATGCACCTTAGGAAGACTAATTCAGGGTCAGAAGTTCAGGTTTTATTAGACTGTTCTATTTACATTTCCAAAACTCTCACTAAAGTTCCACTTAGTTGTTGCATTATGTTCTTATTATAAATAAATTCTCTATACATCAACACATTAGCACTGCCCAATCCATAATAGAAGTGGTTAAATTAAAAAGAAGAAAGAACATTAATCCCATATAATTGATAGTAAGATGCTCACTGTTTAATATTGTCTCTGAGATATGAAAATGGTCGTGGTAACTGATCTAGATGAGTCAATGCTTGTACAAATGCTACTGGAATGAGAGACACAACCACAAAGGCTATAGAAGCGAGAAGAATTGCTATTTTACGAAGCCAGAGTTGTTTGTATGGTATCCAGAGATTAGACCAATAAACATCATGTGGTTCAGGGGCTAGTTTAGTCACCCATAGCATAGGGTTTGATGATTGAAGACTTTGTGCAGCAATGAGAGCAGCAAAACGAGTCTTGAAGAAGACAAAAGCAGCTGGACTCTCCTGTGACAATGACAAAAACCCATTTGATATCATATTGCCATTCCCAACCAGTTCTAAAACTCACTACTAACATAAGCTCTCAAACATGCATTTGGCATGATAGCAACAGAACATGAAAAGGATGAAACACAACATTAGCCTAGTTCATGACTCCAAAATCATCAATACAACATAATGATGCCTAGGGCTAGTAAACACTAGAGATTACCAAACAGAACTTTCTTGTTCCCAAAGGAGATAGATTATGATGAATTTGATCTAGCATACCAGAACATATGTGTCAGAAGAAGATTTACATGCAAAACTGCCTTATATGATTGGAAATCGCAACTTCTGGTAAAAATGCATTCATAATTTGAGACATAAATGATGATACATATGAGTGAGCAATGAACTCAGAAATAAAATACATGACTCCTCTTACTTCAAGATTTTTAATTTTTTCACTCAGTTCCACTGCAGCAAGGTTGGTGGTGCTGTTATCAGTTTCTGTTTCTTCAACCATCTTAAAGGACTGGCTGGTCCCTCCACAAAACATGCATGGTGTGAAACTTGTGCTACATTGTATTGTTTCTGGTTCAACAGCAACAGTTTTAATCATCTTGTACATTTTTTCTGCATCACTCTGCAAAGACACATTAACCAAGCCCAACTTAAACACAGCATATAATCATCCCTAACTAATTCTTGTCCAATTTTAAGAATAAATAAATAAATTACTCGTCACAAGTCACATTGTATAATAGACACCAAAAGAAGTCAAGTATATAATATGAATTTAATGACCTGAAAATCAAATAGAAAATTCGAAGACCTTTTAGTCATGGTATATTATGACCCCATTTCATGAGAAACTTGAAAATGGCAAAAATGTGGTTGTGTGGTATAAGAAAGATGCATACCATCAGTTTCTGAACTTTACTAGCCCGGTATACCATTTGGTGTGACAAGTAGCTTGATGCATAATAGTTGGTAAAGAACTTTTGTACTGTTTCACTATATGATTGCGTTGCAGACCATGGGATACTACGGACAAAAACTGTGAAGTGGCTTGGATTGGGAAGAGACCCAGTAATGTATACTAGCCTCATTTTTGTGATGCTTTTATACTCCTAGAGGAAAGCCAAAACAATTAAAATAATACCAGAGAGTAAAAATTTAAGAATGAATAAAAAATTCAAAGGAGCCATGAATGTATAATGTAAAATGGTTTTACATTCTTACGAAGTACAATAGAACACAAGCCGCACAAGAAATGACATATAATGCAAGACAATGAGCCCAGAGCCTGGAGAAAGCAAGTAAATAAATAAATAAATATTCAACAAAATAAATAACCTCATTTCCACTCCAATATATTGGATGAAAAAAATCACTATGTTGGGGACTGGCACCAAATATCAGCTTGGAGGGGCAACCATGGTGGAATACAAAGGTTATATGGTTCTGTTGCACCCTGCTAGGCACCTGCAAGGATGAGAGCACCCAAGAGAAAGAAAAGAAAGGAAAAAGACCTTAAAATTTTCTCTCTTGGTTGCATGTGCACATGCCATTTTCCATACAACTATTTAGTAGACTTCAAGAGAAATCCATAAGGCAGCATCCAAAATTATTTAGTTAACAGAATCAACTTATCACTGCCTAGAAAACGTACCATTTTGAACCTTCTTTTACATTTTCAATTGTAAATACTAGTAGTGATTCAGCATGGATTTGCTTGTGATGCATTACTTGTCCTTGTCCATAATAATTCACTGGAAGCACTAGAAAAATACAAATTGAAGCAGCAATGGAGAATATCCGAATACTGAAAAAGGAAAAAAGAAAAAAGAAGAAAAAAAAAAAAGGCAGAAATGTTTAGTAGAACTAGCTACAAATAAAAGTCAGAAACTAACTTTACAAACAAGGAAACGAGGCTGAAAGACAACATGCAAAAACCATAGATAGGTGAGTCCAAAGTGATAGATAGGTGAGTCCAAAGTGTTAGACTTCCAAGGAAAAAATTAAAAAGAAACAGAAGTTTTCATTCAGCAGGGAGAACTTAGTCACCTGAAAACGATTATCCTCATGAAAACTACAGCATCCACGCCTGCAATTTCTAATAGTTCTTCATCAGTAGTTTCCCAGGCCTTCAAAACCCAGCTAGGGCTGGGCATAAATCGATCAAAGGAGAAGGGTTCATTATGTTTAGCCCGTCCTGGAGTGATCCACCTCCCAAAGTACACAATCATATTGCTTGGTTGCTTTCTCAATATAGAATACAAGGAAAGAAGCACCACACATATTGAGATATTAATTCCAGCAGAAGTTAAAAGACCAGCAATGTCCATCTTACTTCACCACAATTGTGAGCTTTACAAATGTGATCATCCAAGAATGAAGCCACAGAATCAGCACACAATATTGTATTACTTCCAATTTGCTGAAATGACAGGAATCCTTGAACAAAAGGGATGCTGTTAAATAACAATCCCTCCTGAGTCTTATCAAAAATTGCAAATTCTTCCACACCTCTGTTAATCAAGTAATTTTACATTTGAGTTCTCCTTCAGCGAATTTTAGAAATTGTATTAATTAACACATGTTTACAACAAAAGAAAAGCAAAATTATGGTTTTATGCATTTGGGAATTTAATCCAACAACCAAAAGTTAAAAAATTTCTTCAAACCAACATCACCTACTACAAATTACTACAAGAAAAGCCCAAAATTTATTCAAAAACAATGTACCACACGAAGATTTTCAAAATGAAAAAAAAATAAAAAATAAAAACTAAACAAACCCCACAGCCGCATTAATGGAATAAGGAAACAAATAAATCATAAGATAAAAATGATTCTAGATCAAAAATAGAAGGAAAGAATAAAGTACCTATCCTATACCAAAGCGAAAACCACAATTCTTCCAATATGATCCCAATAGGATTTGAGATTGAAATTTAGAACCCTAGTTTGAAAAAAAAATGAAAAGTGGATTATCTTCCGAGGGATTTAGTCGTTATTCACAGGAATTTTGTTTTTGTTTTTTTTTTTTTTTTCCGTTTTGCTTTTCTTTTCTTTTATATTTGTTGGATGATAACTTTCAATCCTTTATCGATATCCGTCTATATGCCTACAAATTGATACTAATATCTCTTATTTTTACTTTAAAAAAAAAAGCTGGCACCGAAACACAGTTTTTTTTTATAATCTTACCGAATAACTTAATTCATTAGCTATAAATGCATTTTATACATATAACCATAATACAATGTAATAATTGGTAATATCTTATTTAACATCCATTTATATTTTTTATATTTGTGGTTAAGATATTTCTCCTATTAATTTAATATATTTAAAAAAATTATTAGTATTATTATTATTGTAAATCTAACCTTAAGGTACGTTTTTCTTTTTAATTTCTAGAAATCAAGAATTATTGATTCCCTTATTGGGTCTGCTGCTTGGATGCTTGATGACTGATTTCTCGAAAGAAAATCACGAAAAATGTTTCGAAGCTCCGATGGAGTTTTCCATTAACAATTTCATGTGTGTATAAAAATTGCATCTGTTGTAAATTTGTAATTATGATTCATTAGCTTGAGCTAGCGCTTGCACTGCACCTCTGGTCAATTGGCAGCTTCTTCATTGTTTTGTTGAAACAAAAGCAAGGGTTTCTGTTTACATGTTACCTGTTAAGTGAAAAATCTCACATCAATAAAATAATAAATTTTCTCCTCACCAATGGTTGATTAATGGAGGTTTGGTGGTTATGGAAGCGTCCGGTTTAGGAAGATGAAGGTATGCAGCATGTTTCAAAGATAAATATTTGTTAGGGATAAGTCCTACCGTGCTTGTTGTAATACTCCTTATCCCCCAGAATTAGATTAAACTTTCGCATGAATAAACACAACATTATATAATTTAAGGAAAATTGGGGTTAGCCTGCTTTTATAGAGGTTGCTAACTCATGCATGCATGGTTCTTGATCATCTTATATTTCCTGTAATTTGCTGGTCCTCGTAGTTGGAATCATTGCCTACAATATTTGACAGCTTTAGACATTATATGCACGGGACATACGGATGAGATGATACCAAATAAATATGAGAAATATCCTTAAAAAGTCGTTGAGAATTCACACCCCAACCTATCTTCCTCTTCTGCCTTGTACAAATTGTTTTGAACTTATTTCTAACTATGGTGTAAAAGAAATAGAAACTGCTTCTTATTTACAGAACATTAACCAAAAACTTCCTAAAGCACAGCATGTAATGTGGCTTTCCCCTTGTTACACAAATGAAGGTAATTTACAGAGAAAACTGAGTCCTGAATCGAAACTGCACATATGTAGTATCCATATCAAAGTTTTTGTATATTTTCCTCACCCCTAGAGAGTATACAGAACAAAAAATATATACAATACAATCTCGCAGGCAGCATTAAATTTTGGCCCCCTAAACGTCCCACTGGTAACCGCTTCTAGTATCCGCTCCCTCCTCTACAACCCACTATATGTGAATTTCTGTTGGGATTTCCCAACCTTGGTTGCAAGCAGCATTGGCACAATTTTTGGTGCTAATGCATAAGCTGAAATTTTAGTGCGATGACATGTATTATCAACAATACAGTTAATTAATTTCCTTGCCACTACTCGCTTCCCACTCCAAGTTGTGATTAACATTCCATGGTTTATTAAATTCAACAAGATGCTTTCCTGAAAAGAATAAAAACAATATAATCTAAGCAATCCCTCTCTGATTCTTACAGAACCTCCAAGCACTGGCAGAACCCTTACCTGACTTTAGAGACTCTGGATCTTTAATGCTATCCCAATCTCCATGACGATGACTATGTCCAACTCGGGACATGTCATGATATCTGAACCGAAACTGGCAATAAGCAGATTGGAGCTGTTGATAAATTTGTTCCAACCGGTGGGACTGCTCGTCTTGTTGATCCATCTCTATTAGAATCTATAAGATACTGTCACATCATACTTGCAACCAATAGAAAGATTTATGTTTGAGAGAGAGCTTTCCGATTGCTACCTGTGCAGAAGTCCTCTTAAAAATGGGGGTAAACCGCTGCCTACAATACTCATTGAACAGCAAAGTCAAAATAATCAATGGAATGGTGAAACCAGATGCAACTCGTGATCGTTTTATTCCGAAAACTCCAAGAGCAATAATTTGTGTCACCACCAATGAAAAGATTGTTGTGTTGTGAACAATAGGCCAGAATCGCCCCCCACTTTCATATTTTGACACATATACATTGAGAATCTGAAATAATTGAATGAGAAAACACAATGATTATCAAAGAACCGTAAGACATGTATTGTTTCAAAAATAAGCTCTACTTACAGAACTGTTTTTCCTCTTTTTTTTTTTTTTTTTGAAACAAATGTCCTCTCAACCTAAGATTCTGAAGTAAATACAACACATTTAGATTCATTGGAACAGGGGTTTAGTCTTGTCACCAAATAAACTTAGGAACTTGAATATCCTAAGAATCCCTTAAGCCAAAAATCTTAAATGAGACTGTTATCCCCCTCTGTTTTGAAATTTAAACTATAGGTATCTTGAAATGTGCATACTTCCTTCGTGCTCCGCAAGACTAACAAAAGTTACAAAACATAGTAAAACACATTTTAAAAACACAATCACTGATACTTAAGAAAGAAATGCGAGTAAACATTCATATGTTTGATTCAAAAATGTAGGAAAAACATGTAGTTGATTGGAGAAACATGCACCTGATTTCGGTAGACAAGATAAGCAAGGAAATAGTAGACTAACAAAAAGGGCAAGATCAATGGCGCCATGACAGAACAAGTAAAGCCAATGAGCCCAAACAAAAGCAGTCTTGGAATTTCAGTATGATGTGGAAAGGAATAAACGGCATCTGGTGGATCGTCCTTCATTCTGAGTACGAATTTTTTTATAACATTGCAGAGAAGTGCAAAAAGTTGAATGACTTCACACGCCAAGCTTGCCCACCCAGAAGATAAAACATAAGTCATGAAGAATGTAGCCTGCAGATATTCAAAGGGCCAAAACAATAGTTAAAAGAGGCTTTATATTTGCAGTTAGACATACAAAACTCATTGGATGCACTTATCAATACATGAAAATGAGATAAAAAAAAGTTTGTATCTAACACTAGACTGTACATCTTGAAGTATTGGCAACCTCAACCACAGTCAGACATTAGGTCTTATCATTTGGTTAGATATTTACAACCTCAAAACTCAGAAAATCAAAATTCCAAACATAGACTTTAGATTCACAAATAAGTTTCTCACACATCTCAAATGAAAAAAAATGGTATAACTGACACTGAGAGATCAATTTAACCATGTCTAGAGATAGGACAAAAGATGCAGCAAATATGAAAGCAACATATTAAGGAATCATGAAGAATCACCTGATTTGACACTGCTTTGCCAAGTTGTGACGGTATATCTCTTACACTCCAGAACACTTTGAACTTGTCGATAAAATGCCCAGAAAGAAAATTGACAAAGAAAACATTCCAAATTGTGAAGTACAAAATTTTGATGCATGTACTTTTTTTCCTTCCACTTAGTGAGGTAGGTCCTTCCAGTTTTGAAAATAGCATCATTGTTGGAGGAACAGTGTAAAGAAACAAGATCAGAATCACACTTGGTAAGTAACCTGTTATTAGCCGTTCCATAAACTTCCTGCACATAGAACATGATATAAGCAATGTCATTTCTGCAGTCAACTCTCTTACATGCTCCCACTTATCTTCCCTTGTTTCCCTCCAAGTGATGACTTAAAAAATCCAAAAATATGATGAAATGGCAAAGGCAACCCATTACGTTCAATACACTAACTAGACTTTCCTATTCAACCAGCTTGGTACCAGTACCCCCATGGACTTCAAAGTTTGATATTTTCGACAAAATATAAAACCAAACCCAACTGCCTAACAAAATAGAACAAAATTGGCTATTGACCAAAACAACCTAATCACAGGAAACTTTCCTAACATCTGAAACAAAAAAATTCATCTTTATAACACCTGTTAAAGGGATTTGCTACATGTATTAACCATAAAACATGAATATCAACATAAAAATGAACTGTAGTGAACAAAGTAAAGAATATGTTTAATAAAATACTATAAGAAACTAAATGTAACAACCAGTAATCCACCATAAGAAGACTAATTCAACGTCACAAGCTTAAGTTTTCATTACTCTATTCTACTTTCATTTCCACAATGGTCACTGAAGTTCCACTTGTTGCCTTCTATTTCTTCTAAAAAATTTAGCTTGAATACCCATACCATGCCCGTGCTCAAGAAATACCCATGCTTAAATGTTGATGGTGAAACAACACCGTAGTGAGCTCCACTTATAAACTTTCTGATCTCCATATTAGAGTGCAGTTTATAATCATATTTAAATGAAATAAGGAAACTAACTATAATCCTTATAGTTGCATCAACTACAATTCTTATTACAAATAGTTTCTCTATACATAAGGATGTATGTATTTGGCATGGGAATTTCCAGATTCAAGTTTATTTGCTGCAACCAATTGTGCCCTTATCCACATATGACATCAACAGATTAGCATTTCCCAATCAACAATGGCAGTAGTAAAATTAAAGAGAAAGAGAGAATTAATCCCATAAAATTGATAGTATGATACTCACTTTTTTAGAATTTCTCTGAGAAATGGAAATATCTGTGATAGCTTATTTGGTTTGGTCATGATGTTTACAAATGAAATTGGGGCAATAAACACAACCACAAAGGCTATAGAAGCCAGAAGAACTGCTATTTTACGAAGCCAGAGTTGTCTGTATGGTATCCAGAGATTAGACCAATAAACATCATGTGGTTCAGGAGCTAATTTAGTCACCCATAACATGGGGTTTGATGATTGAAGATCTTGTGCAGCAATGACAGCAGCAAAACGAGTCTTGAAGAAAACAAAAGCAGCTGGACTCTCCTGTAACAATGACCAAAACCCATTCAATATCATATAAATTATAATACACGAGTGAGTAACAACCTCAGAAATGTATTTATTTCACTTGTCTTACTTCAAGATTTTTAATTTTTTCACTCAGTTCCACCGCAGCAAGGTTGGTGGTACTGTTAACACTTTCTGTTTCTTTAAACATCTTAAAGGATTGTAGGGTCCCTCCGCAAAAAAAGCACGGCATTAAACTTGTTTCTGGTTCAACAGCAACAGTGTTAATCATCTTGTACATTTTCTCTGCATCATTCTGCAAAGATGCATTAACCAAGCCCAACTCAAACACAATACATAATCATCACTACCAAATTCTTGCCTTATTTTAAAAATAAATAATTAACTTTTGTCACAAGTCACAATTGTATAAGAGACACCAAAAAATAAAAAAGTATAGAATAGAAAATTAGAAGGCCTTCTAGTCATTCTTATGTGTGGTATAAGAAAGATGCATACCATCAGCTTCCGAACTTTACTAGCCTGGTATACCATTTGGTGTGACAAATAGCTTGATGCATAATAGTTTGTAAAGAATGTTTTCACTGTGTCACTGTATGATTGTGTTGGAGACCATGGGATACCACGGACAAGAACTGTGAAATGACTTGGATTAGGAAGAGACCCAGTAATGTATACTAGCCTCATTTTTGTGATGCTTTTATACTCCTAGAGGAAAGCAAAAACAATTAAAATAATACCTGATAATAAAAACTTAAGAATAAATAAAAAAATTCGAACCAGACATGAATGTATAATGCAACATGGTTTTACATTCTTACAAAGTAAAGTAGAACACAAGCAGTGCAGGATATGACATATAATGCCAGACAATGAGCCCAGAGCCTAGAGAAAGTAAAAAAAATAAAACAAAATAAATAAACAAAAGAAAAAAAAAAAAAGAAAAAAAGAACCACATTTCTACTCCAACATATTGGATGAAAATAATCACTATGTTGGGGACTGGCACCAAATATGTCAGCTTGGAGAGGCAACCATAGTGGAATAGAAAGGTTATATAGTACAGTTGCACCCTGCTAGGAGCCTGCAAGGATGAGAGCAACCAAGAGAAAGAAAAGAAAGGAAAAAGACCTTGATTTTTCCCTCTTGGTTGCATGTGCTATACAAATATTTAGTAGACTTCAAGAGAAAGCCATAAGGCAGCATCTAGAATTGTTTAACAGAATCAACTCATCATTGCAAGGGCCCAAGAGACCATACCATTTTGAACCTTCTTTTACATTAGTAATTGTAAATACGTCTAGCGATTCAGCATGCATTTGCTTGTGATGCATTATTTTTCCTTCTCCATAATAATTCACTGGAAGCACTAGAGAAAGACAAATCGAAGCAGAAATGGAGAATACCCGAATACTGAAAAAAAAGAAAAATAGAAAATGAAAAAAGAAGCAGAACAGTTAGTAGTACTGCAAATGAAATGCAGAAACTAACTTTACAAACATGGAAGCGAGGCTAACTGTATAAATGGGTGAAAAACATATGCAGTGTATAAAAAGGTGAGTCCAAGGTGTCAGAAAATTAAAAGAATATATACAGAGGATTTCATTGTCCAAGGAGGAGTTAGCGACCTGAAAACGATTATCCTCATGAAAACTACAGCATCTACACCAGCAATTTCTAATAGTTCTTCATCAGTAGTTTCCCAGGCCTTCAAAATCCAGCTAGGGCTAGGCACAAATCTATCTAAGCACAAAGGATCTTTCCGTCTAACCCGTCCTGAAGCGATCCTCCTCCCAAAGTACACAATCATGTTGCTTGGTTGCTTTCTCAGTATAGAATACAAGGAAAAAAGCACCACGCATATTGCTATATTAATCCCAGCAGAGGTTAAAAAACCACCAATGTTCATCTCACTTCACAACAATTGCAAGCTATACAAATCTGATCATCCAAGAATGGAGATGCACGTCCTTGATTTAACACAGCATCAAACACTGTTTTAAAAAAAAAAAAAAACCCTCCTGAGCCTGACGAAAATTTGCACATTCGTCCGCCCCTCCCATTATTAATGCAAGAAATTGTACCTATGTGTTCCTTCTAATCCCAAACGAATTCTTGAAAATGTATTGATTAAAACATGTTTCCAAACAAAAAAGTCGTAAAGGAAGCAAAATTATGGTTTTATACATTTGGGAATTCAATGCAACAATGAAAAGTTAAAAAATTTCTGGAAAACAACATCACTGATTGCAAAAAAAAGAAAAAAAGAAAAAATATCAATAAGAAAAAAAAAATTAAATTACCAGAACCACATTAACTGAAGAAGGAAACAAGGGAAAATCATAGGATGTAAAGGATTCTAGAGCACCTCTGCAAATACCAGAGCCAAGAGCCCAATTTCTTGGAAAATGATAGCAAAATGAAGTGAGAGGACACGTTAATTACTGCAAAAAGAGGAATTCAGGAGCCTGAAAAAACTCATAATCCGACTGCAAGTCCGTTTTGCTTTACTTGTACTTCACATAAACCCAACTTGATTGGGATAGGATTTCAGATTGAAATTAAGAACCCTAAATTTGAAAAACAGAAAACTGGATTATCTTCCAAGCGATTTCAGTTGTTATATTTTCAGGAATTTTGGTTGTCCATCCACGCATTGCAACCAAAGATTATTGGGAATGCCTCGATGATTAATTAAGGTAATTAATTATTAATTAATAAAATTAGTAGTAGTTCTTTTATTTGGAGAAAATCCTTGTGACAGCGACGGAAACGGACAGGTCGTTGTGCCAGTCCTGAAGTAGAACCGCCATAACTGTCATGGAGAGGAAAGCTAGTCGTTTTTCGTTGGGTGGGGTGTGCGGAAAAATCCTCGATTGAAAAAAATCTTTAAATTGACCAAAAATACAATAGATGAAGTTGGGGTTGATTTGGTTTTGTATTTTTTTTTAATTAAAAATCAAATTGAAATCATATCAAATCTTATTAAATCTAAAAATTAATAAGTAGGGTTAATATAACTAAAAATTTAGTTGAAAATTATTATAAATTTTTTAGTAGTTTTTAATTTTGTTTAAATTTTCTTGCCACTTTAATTTCTACTATATTATTTATTTATTTAAGTAATTTTTAATTTTTAATAATCATTCATGTGGTATTAATACAAAAATTAATATTTATTTTTATATTTTTTATGTAAATTAATTATTAAAAAATATATTAATGACACTCCTACCTAAGTTATTAGAACATATTTAGAAAAACCTATTAAGGTTTACACAAAGTTGAGTAGCTTAATCTTTCACCTAATACTAGATGATGGAGATAGAGTGAGAGTGACCACAAAGTTGAGGAGAAAGAGACAGAGACACTGCTGTTTGGATTAGTTTTTTTAAAATAGTTAATAATTGATATATGTTAATTGATAATTATTAATATTTATAATTCAAAATACCTAACTTATTTGAGTAAAATCAATAATTGATTGTTATTTTTAATAGGTTAAAACAATTGCCCTTAAGCTTTCACGCTGATTAGAGATTGTGTATAATTAAGATGTGCGAAAGTAAGTATTTTTGACTTATTCTATATGTCAAATGAGATTTATGTATTATAATTCAAATTATATATTAAAAATATAATTTATCTTATAAAATTTATTAAAATATTTTTAATAAAATAATGTAAAAAATAATTTTATTAAATACATTTTAATAAATTCATAAGCCATTCTATAATTTTAATATTCAATAATTTACTCTATAAAACACTTTTTTTAATTTCAAATAGAAGAAAGTTGTGTATTTAAATGAGTATATTTGACTTATCCTATTTAAAGAGGGTATGTTTGATTTGTCCTATATGTCAAATATTGGAAAGTTGTATTTAAAGTATGTTTGACTCATCCTCATCGGATTTCTATTGGAGTTTTGTTACAGTTAATTGATTTATATGAGATATGGTATTTATTAGTTTATGACAACAAATTTAAAGATATTTTTTAAGTACATTTAAAAAAACATAACATGACAAGAAGCTAATTTTTTTAAAAATAATTTCCTCAATTAGTTGTCAAAGTTTAATTTATTAAAAATTACATAGAATTGAGGTTCTTATATTTTTTATTGTTTTTTTATACTAGGTAAAAATCCCATAATATAATGGATTTAAATGAGATTAGATAGACACTTACATGATCATTTTTAAAGCTAAAAAATGAGTTGTCCTAAAGATTTATATTATGAATAAAATTTTTATTTACTTATAGAAAAATAATATCAAGTATGATCGAATCTTTAACTTGTCCAGTGTCTTTTTTTTTTTTTTTGTTAAATGCTAAATTTAATCCATAAACTTTTAATTTTAAACAATTTTAATCTCTCAATTATAAAAAGTATACTCTTTTTCCTTCCATCAATTTTGTATGTTAAGATTTTATTTAAAAATATTTCTTGATTCTTTAACTTTTGACTTTTTAAATTTTTTATTATTTAAAAATATATAAAATATTAATTAAAATAAATATTAAATATATTTTCTTCTTTTTTTAATGTATTAAAAAATCAACCATTACAGCTACCAATCTGTCCAACTAGCATGAAGCGCAATATCTTTTTGATCTTTTTCGTCAATTTTGTCCGTTCGTAGAGAGGTCTCAACCAACCCAAAATCAGAACTAGTGTCATTTCAAAAGAACCCAAAAATGGATGGCTAGTCGGACACAATTTTGCAAAGAAGTAAATCTTTAATAGTAATGTTTCTTAAAAAATCTTATAAACAAGTCCTAAATATCTTTCTGCCTTGAAGATAGCTGTAATAGTAACCAATAGGTTAAACTCCCAACTTAGTTTTGGAAACTATTATATAGATCCTTGAATCAATTTTTTTAAAAAAAAAATTAATTTGATCTTTAAAATTTTATAATTTGATTCTAAATTAGTTCTTCTATTAAATTTTTATTGTGGTGGCCTATAAAATAGAGAGAAAGAGAAATAAAGGGAATATTTTAAGTTTTTTTTTTTTGGTCATGTCATTGTTTTTTTCCATGTTGTAACTCTTACATGTCAAAATAATTTGACATATCATCAGATTTTTAACGGAATGATCAATTTGGAGACAAATTACAAAATTTAAGGACCAAATCAAGAATTTTCTTAATTAAGGGACCGACTCAAGGGTCTTACAATAATTGAGGGACTAACTTGGGGTTTAACCTAACATGCCAACCCAATCTTTAAATTATGTGGCCTTTTGGAGATATCAAGTTCTTTCTTTTTTCTTTTTTCTTTTTTTTGAAAATAGGTAATGGAGATATCCAGTTCTTATTTCACATAACAACGTGCAATAATTGAGCACTAGATTTTTATTATAATATATAAAATATAACAGAAATAATTCTTTAAAAAGTGCATTAGGATGAGAATGTTTTTATGGTTTAATGATCACCTCTTTTTTACATAAAACTTCTCATATTATATTTGATATGTGTTGAATTCGAGTTCCACCTCTAATATTAAAATAATAATAATAATAATAATAATAATAATAATAATAATAATAAAAAAAGAGCATTAAAATGTTATAGATTAGAAGTCTTGGATTGAACGGTTTAAGGGATTTGACGATCATTGTATGGCATAAATAGTTCCTCCGCTGGCAGGATTCGTCTTGCAAGCAAGTATGAGATAAGACCATAGTATTAGGCATTAGCCATGCGTTGCTTCAACAAATGAAATATTAATGTGGTTCGAATTAAAAAAAGAAAAAAAAGGGCAACTTGAAGGATAACCAAGTCCAATTATGTGACAAAATTGAAATAAACTTACAGAGAGGGGTGAATGAACATTGGATTTAGCAGCACCAGGGAACTGGATCAATAAATAGTTAATGAAGAAACCATTTAAAGAAGTCATCAATGGAGTGACTTGAGGTGAAAAATTTGGCAACTTGGGGTATACGACGTCTTTGTTGAAGCCTGCTCGAACTTCTTAGCAGCAGCTCCGTTTTCCTCTAAGTTGGTCTGCCCAAAATACCGTACCCACCAAGTTGAGCTCCTAAATTTAGCCTTCAGAAGGGAAAAAAAATTCAGTATGTCACATTAATTACATAAACAGTGTACATATTACTCGAGGTTTAACGAAAAATGTTACCTTAAATAACCAAAAAATATGCTAGCTAGAAGATAAGTAAGTAAATGAGCTAGGACCAAAAGACGACATCATAAATTAAGCAATCAAGATTAAAGGAAAAGTACAAGATCAAAATGCATAAATCTAGTACTTCTTTGCTCCTCAGAACATCAATTGGTATGGAATAAGCAGATCGCCTTTTTGAAGAACCACTTTTCACTTTCATTACCAACTTTCTTAGGTTGGATGCATTTGATGTTGCTTAATTGCACATCATTTATTCGTCAATTGAAAATTAGATATATGTCGGTTAAGCTTTACCACAATTGTCTATACTTTTTTACTGGAAGCTGGAATATCAAAGGTTCTTTCAAACAATGTAAGTTGTTTGGTGGGCTTTCAAACAATCGTGTTTATAACCAATGTCAATTTTAAAATAACCAAGCAGTATTTAAGGAACAAGTTATGATCCTTCAATTGATAGCCACTTACCGCCCTCCCGAATTTAGACACTTCTGTAACTTTAGCTATCTTTCGACCTGGAGTACCTACATGAACAACGATGAAAGAAACTCTTGGAATGTCAAATGGCTAACAAAAAATACTTTCCAAACTAATATATTTATCATGTATCTTACTTGTAGAAAACTGCTGTAGAAGCTTAACTTTAATGAATGATTAACCAAATTAGTATATCACTTTCAATGTGATGTATATACAGAGAAACCCAAATACTAATTAACCAGATGAAAAAGTCAAAATAAAATTTAAAGTAACTGTTGGTAGCTCCTAAATTTCAATAATATCAACATGAAAAAGAGACTATCATGCAAGGACCAGAAAATCTTGCTAATAATCATCCAATTAAACACATAAGTTTATAGTTGATTTTCACAGAAAATGGGAGTCAAGAATTCAACAAATAGCAAACTAACTGAAGATAGTGAATAAAAAGAGAGAGTGCAAACTTATTTGGTGGTATCTGATCAACGAGGGTAAATACAAGCTGCATTTACCTGTGAATACTACAAGACCTTCAGCTGATACCCTCACCAAATCTGGAAGTGTCTTGTTAAGGTATTTTAGAGTCAAGTAATCCAGTGCATCTGACACAATTACAAGAGGAAATGATTTTGGCCTGTATGAAAGAGGAAACTTGATATCAGCTACACGCACAATGCCTTTGCGCACTAGTCCTTTGCATTTAGTATCAGCATCCTCTATGTCATATGGTTCAACACCCCAAGCTTCAGTTGCATCTTCTTTTAACAATTTAGAAGCTACTGAACAAGTATCAGGACCAATATGCAAAACTTTATGCATGCTGTCTCCATATGCTTCTTTCAAAACAGGAATTGCTCGTTCAACCTCTAACGTGCATGAAAAATCACCTGGACCAGAAGATAAAATCATATTCTTACAAGAAAGTATGATTTGTTACATAATGACAATTCGATAGGTCTTTCTAAAGTAAAAAGAAAGATATATCAATATAAAAAAGTACTAAAACATCCAAAAGTCTACAATTACCCAGACAAACAGTAGGGCATCTTCGAAAATTAGGATATCATCAAGATTTAGAGTCTAGCCAGAAACAGGATATTAGACATAATTTAAGAGAAGAATAGAATAGTTTGAATTATGAATTCCAGCTCTAAAATATGATCAGCTAAATTCCAATTTCTGCATAAAGTAAATGCACTCATTCGTAAAAGAAAAGTGGAAAATATGCAGCAACGTAGGGAAAACATGCTTCCTGTTCCTGTATCTCCATTTTAAGTATCCTATTACTGCTGACCCATTTAAGATTAAGTATTTTTCGGTATGATGTAAGTTCTAAGTTAATTAATTTCCGTTTTCAGCATATGGAAGATTAACACTTGCAGTCCGGAAGATTTTGCAGAGCATCTATCAACCATAGAAATTGTGTACTTATCAAGTTAACCAGTAACAACAATATTTGTATACTTTTTAGAAACTTATTACTCTAGGACAAGAAAGAGGTATGGTTATATAGGCATGAAAAGAGTTACCTAAAATAAAGCATACGTTATATAACATGAAGATATATAGTTATATACACAAATGAGCCAGCATTACCTTCAACCCTACTAATATCTCTGATGCCCCCAAATCCTATTACACAACAAATGAAGTTGAGTTAACAAAGTGATACATGTGTGCACTTAGCTAGATAAATCAGAAAATACAGAATATTGAAACATGACATATGGTATGTAAAAAAGTTTGACATCTCAATCAAATAAAAATTGAAAAGGATATGCTATTACAAGGTCGCAATATATATATATATATATATATATATATATATATTTTAGCTACTCAAGTATGAATAAGGCTGATTAACTCCGATCACAGGGGCATTGTTTCAGAGAATACACAGATCAAAACTAACATACATGCCAGTTCAATTCAAAAAATTCAAAAGCCTAGATACCAAGATTGACTAAGCTAATTAAGGATGATGGTTATAAAATCATTCTCCAATGAGCTATGACATAAAAACATGCATTACTACCTTTTAAGGCAAGGCAAAAAAACAAACCTGAGCCACCATGCAAGTAGGCAACAAGAAGCAGTGTGCCCTGAAAAAAAAAAGAAGAGGGGGAGGAGGAAACTTGATTTAAAAGGACGAAATGTCTAAAGGAAACAAAACAATGATTTTCAATCTCAGAAAATAAACATCGAAAGGAAACAACAATGAAGGAATCAAGTTCAAGTACCAAGACAATGAGAAGAATGGATGAGCGAGAGTTGGAATGAGAGAAGTGAACACCTCCTCCGCCGTCTCCATACCGTCTCGTCCTCCTCGTCATGCCAACAGATTTACTGCTAGAATCCGATGATCTCGCCTACAAATTCTCTGATTCAAACAGAAAACAATGTAGAATGAATCAATTACCATGATTAATTAATCAATACTGCGAATCCAAATTACAAAATCATTTCTCTCGAAATGAAGCCAAGAATCTTAATTAATAAACACACTGATATATATATTTGATTGATTGACTATACTTTCATATCTAAGATACAGAATGGAAAATTGAAAGAGGAAAGAAGCAGAAGAATTGAATTACCCAGGGAGAGTGAGTGAAGAACGCGCATTTTGCGGAGTAACAAACAAGACTCAGAGCAGATCCGAACTTCCTG